TCTTCCAGAGTTTGATGAAAATCAGATCCATTACTTAGAAACTATGATGAATATATGTGTAAGTATCTAAGCCTGCGTCTCTTACGCATGCGTGCATTTATATGTGATAGATAGTAGATCCCAGCAGAATTACAAGCACCTCAAATGGAACTTGCCTCCTTACAGTACTTGTCTTCTAGGCGATAGCTTGTTATGTCACATATAGATTTATCTTCCAATGAATAATCAGACTCAAGCTGCATATTGGCAACTATATTTTAAACCAAAAAATTCCTCACATAATAAATACATTTTATGCACATTAACTTTGAATTTACTTCAGAAAGCTATTTACAATATAAATAATTATAAATGGGAACACTTTGCAAGATATCATTGACATAGCTAATATTTTCTACTTTACATTCCAAAGTAAAAGTTCAAATTACAGTTTTATACTACAACATTACTAAAAACTATACATTGCAAGATGATATTTGAAATATTGGCAATCAATATCTTCTCTCACAAATATAGTCCTTTTTATAGCATGTCAGTCAAAAATCAAACATAAAATATTTTTTCTTTATGAAGTGCCTACGCATACTTTTTTCGAAATACTTCCCTTTGGAAAAAAAATGGAAAAAGAGTTACAGTACTTCCAAATTTTTCCCATGCCTATTTTATTTCTTTTGAAATGTAAACACACCAGAGTTGCTGGGTAACAATTTTGCTTTAATTAAATGTGTCCCAAATCAGCAAATTAGAACAAACTTCCCCATTTAAGTTTATGAAAGTAAAGTCCCATGCAGTAAAATTGCAATAAATAAAACTACAAATGTTTGGTTTAAAACTATCAATTAGGATTTCTTGTGTGAACAACTATGTGTGTGTATGTTTATACACATACACACACATATATATCTCCCATCGTATATAGGATATGTATATATCCCATCATGTATATATACACACATATAAAATTGAATATGCCACATTTTATGAAGCCTCCAGATGATACAAAAATCATGCTTTTCTGTGTGTTTTCTTTCTACATACAGCGCTAGAGAATGAGCTCTGAATAAATGAGTACAGTCTCACCTTGGGAGTTAAGCACTACCCGTACAACCCTTGTGCACAGAAATGAGCACTACACGGAAATTTCCCCCTAGAAATGTTCTAAGTGTGACCTTTTACACGTGTCCATAGCTGTTCTGTCTCATAGTAAGAAGTAGCCAATAGAGTTTGCTGTTAGACTCGAATTCCTAGTCACAAAATCATGAAGTGTACATAACTTGAGTCTCTTATTTTAGGACTGTAGGATTTACACTCTGTATTAAGTTATTCAGCAAATAGGATGTCAGTCTACATCTATGATAGGAGTGAACCAGGAAACCAAATCCGGGCATTTGAACTTCTTAGATCAGAAAAATTATATGGAGGTATAATTTTCTCCATTAGGCAAGGTGAGTGATCCCAAAATGGTCAAATATCCTTTCAGTTTTCCAAATTGTATTCACTCTGTCATTTCCAAATATGAACAGAATTGCACAGAATATCTTAGTAATAATCTATTGGTTTAAAAGAGAAAGAGAGAGAACTACAAATTATTAAATCTAGATTTAGAATGTTTAGCTGTACTGTCTTTTAATCAAATAGTCTGGATCTTTAGGCAAAAAAAAAAAATTTCATTTCATTTCAAAGTGTCTATGCATTTTTTCCAAATGACCTTGTTTTGTAATTAATCCTCATCCCCCACTGGGGGAAAAAAAGGAATGGGAGGGAGGAGAAAATAGAAAAAGAAAATAAAATGGTGCATACTAACCTTTTCTAGAAGATCCCATTAAAGCTTACTTTAACTGGGATTCTTTGCCCAGAGGCAGCATGTGGCTGCAGAGTGCAGAGAGAATTAAGAACAGTACCCAGTGGAAATATCTGAGCCCTATAAAATATAATCAGGAAATAAGTGGGTTTTCTGTATAAACACTCGAGGCAAATCATTTATTGTATCCTGTCTCATTTTGAATGTCACAATCAGCACTCATATTTATCTTTTATCAGGCAATTATAGTTCAGAAAATCTAGGATGTTTTATTCAGCAGAGTATGTCAAAAGAACTGTGAAACTGAAGTGCAACAAAACATCTGGCCTATAATGATTGTGAAGTAACAGTGTGCATCCAAAAATAACATATTTTTAATCTGTATATTCTCAACCTACTGGTAATAGAATTTTCCCAAAAAATCACTAGGAAAAACTTATTTCTTTGGTCATCCATTTTTTAACAGAAATAGCAAGTAAAATGAAAAGTAAGATATTCCTAACATTACTAAAGAGCATGAACGTTATAGCATCTAATGAATTCATCCATATTGTACCAGTGTAACTGGATATAGCATAACACATTTTTATGAATCCTCAAAGTGGTATAAAAAAAAACATACTTCTTTCACAATTTCAGTTAAGTTTTGTGATTCTTAGTATTTTATCAAAGTTACAAAAATGAAAGATTAAAACTGAAGCTAAGTGCGGTTTAATGTTAAATGATTAGATTATTGGTAATTTATCTTTTATTTTATATCCTATATTTTTAAGACAAAATTAATATCTTCATTATGAGGAGATATGTTCCTGCAGAGCTTAATAATGTAGATTATATATTTTTAAACATCTATGTGTATATTAAGAGTGTACCTTGCCATAAAATGTTAGCATTTTAAAATCTTTCTGTAATAGTGATGCTATGTTGTAAAAAAAAAAAAGTAAATACTTAATACTGTGAGCGTATTAGGCATTATATGTAATGTTAAGAGAGTTGTTATGAAGTTATCGACATGAATTAAACTTTAAAATTATATATATATATATATATATATATATAAAACATGGTCTATCTAACCAAAATTTTAATCAAGATGTAATTTTGTTAATTTTGTATTACTTTTTAAAAGGCTGGCCATGCTAATTGAAAGAGCTTTGTCTCTTGTGATTATCTGCTAGCTTCAGAGTTCACAGTCTATTCCTTCTATGAATGAACTATTCTCCCTTCAAAAAACTCCACTGAAATCCTTCAGTAAGTCTTTCCTTTCGTATCATTTCATTTTCCATGGTTCTTAAACTATTCATTTCCTCCTAACACATCTGTCCCTGAAACATTTGGTAGAGTAGATCTATCAATAAAACTCATCTGTATATACTCCCTTTCCAAAATACTTCATATTATCCAGTTACAGAATTCTGCAGAAACCCTCAGCATAACTAAAACCTTACTTTATATTGCGAATTGGTTTAAAATCCACTCTAACAATTCCAGGGGTTTCCCAAAGTTAATTTTTTTTCAAAAATTGCTAAATACTTTGCTAATATAAACTTAAAATTTAGTTTCAATTATACTTTGAACATTTTTGCAGAGCACAGATGTGGCTTTGTTATACCCATGAAATAGTTATTTAATTTTATTGTAGCCTTTTCCCTAATGTACAAATAACCAAGGATTTAACCTTCAGTTATCATCAATCGGATTGTCACTTGCCTATGAACTACCACACAATTGTATTAAATGATGAAACTACTGTATAATCCCTGAGTGCTCAATGTCATGCTCTGTTTTAAGATCTTCAGAATATTCCATTCCTCCTTTATGGCAGAAGTATCAGGCATGGCCTCTAAGTGAAATTTCCCTAATTACTTAAATTGCTGTGCTTTGATTCCTGTAGAACAGAATATTCAAGAAATCCTACTATTTTTCTTCTTCCTTTTAAGTTTCTACCACCAATATGTTGGATGAATCTAGCAAAGTGACTATACTGTACATGACTAAAAGAGCTCACATACCTGCTTAGGCATACAGACTTCTGTTTGTAGTTAGAAAATTCAGAAATATCCCCCTTCACAACTCATAGTAGAGTTAGTTAACCAGATCATGCCTGCTGCACCCATGGACCATAAAGCATGAACACTGGAGCTGCCTTACAAACCAGGACACTGAAGCTCACAGTCAGGGTCTAGCCAGACCCCAGATATCTTAGCATCCAGTGCAGCACCCTTGCTGGCACACCAAACAGATATGAAACCCAGTTTACTGTTGTAATTGTTTACAAACAATAAGAAAAACAAATGCTTAGCCTATTCTTAAGCCAAGTATTCCTCTCATCTTTTTTAACCACTTCTCTATCGGTCTCTGCTTTTATCTTAGATGCTCTCCTGCGGCTTTCCACATGTTGTCACATTGGCACATCTGTGCTTTGAAATGTTCTCAAACACTTCCACTGCTGTCATGTAGCACTTCACTGATTTCCCTTCATTATTTTTGCACTTATCAGCCTTTTTTCTTGGTGAACTGGCTTGGATTTTGTGTTTGGCTGGTTTTATAACCAAGCCCCAAACATGTTCTTTACCTATTCTGAGCCTTAAATTGTTTATCTCGGGATATTGTTTCATTCCACTCTGCCTCTGGCCTTTCCATCTTCGAGAAACTACTTCCAATTGAGCACCCAGGTATTTTGATATGTTTCCCAACATCTCAGTGCTTTTACTGAGAAAAACCCTTACTGCTATGTCAGTATAATCCTGGTCCTTGTCTAACTCAAACGTAAGGTAAAAAATTGCCACTTCCTGATTGCTCATAATGGATACCAGGTGAAAACTCATTCTTGTACTACATCCAGAACCTTTTCTCTAATTTTACACCTGAGCCGAATGAGCTGATTGGTTTGCAATCACAAAGGGGAAAAAATCAGTTTAAAAAACTCTCTCTTTCTCAGTCATTTTTAGGAGTGTGAATTTCCTGAAGAAGTTCAATATGCTAAAGAAACTTGCCCATTGTTGGTGTGTTTATGATTAATTTTCCAAACTGTGTGTGTAATGTCTATTCAGCAGCTTGTGAATATCAATGTGTGTGTGTGTGAGTTTCACAGGATCATCACAATGTAAAGTTGTCACTCAGACATAAATGCTTATTCCATTTATGGATATTTCAATACAAAATTTATATATGCTGCTTCTCACGTAACCGTAGGGGCAATATGTGTATTTGTTTAGCTTCATTATCTGTGTATAACCCTGAATGCTAGTGCTATATTTTCTTTCATTTCATAGGAACACATGTCAAATACCCGGTGACTTAAATTATCCTAACAATCTGTGGCATAATAAATGCTGGTAATGGGGCATTAAAGTATAAATATGTTTCAGAGACCCTAACAGAACAAAACATTTTAGAAAAAACATCAGCTTCCATTGGTTATTATAACAGATGTTCCCTTGTGTCCTTGTGCTGGATCTGGCTGCATTCTTAGATGGGAAGTTACATCAAAGTGTGAGCCATTACAGCCCAAGGAATAGTTTCTAATGGTTTCAGTGTCATACAAATGTTCCAGGGCATATCCAGTTAATGTATAAGCATGCTTATCAAAATACTGCCGGTGAGAGCCAAAGCAGTTTGGAGAAATGGCAGGATGGTCTCCTGCTGTCTGATGAGGAGACATATCTGAATGTAGATAGTCTTTAGCTAGGATCAAACTGGATTTTGAAACACGATCCGAGTTGGGGCTGCTTATCCGAGACAGTGCAGTGGGACTGTTGTCATAGTCATTTTCATGGGGGCTCAGCATCTTTCCCTCTCTCTGCTGGATGTGGTCACATGGTGAAGTGTTGGCAAGAGCAGAGCTGTGGCAGACTTCGCCTGTCGGCAGGGGCTGTTGGTAATTTGCAAAACAGGGGGAGTGTTTTTTCCCAGCTCCATTAATGGATGCCAGTTGGTCTGGGGGTGCTTTCCTTAACTGCAATCTGTTCTCTTCCTCTTTAATCATTTGCTGGGTGGCTCGAATCAGAGTTTCAATTTTGCTAGGTTCATGAGGACTATTTTGATACTGCTCAGTGCGGTACCGGTCACCTGATTCACTAGCTGACCCAGGATCTGGAGAGCTGACCACACTATCTTCATCCCAATGGCCTCGTCCTAGAAATCAGAAAAAGTAAAAAGTAAATATTCCTAATATTCACAGAAAATCACACACATTTGTTGTTCATTTTAAAAGAAATCTGTGTCTTTCATTTCTAATCCATGTACCTATTTGACCCAGGCTCATATTTGTCAATTGGTTTTATAGAATTTTTATTTGTACTGGAATTCAGCAGTATCAGTGGGTTTTAAATGCAGGTAGAGTTTATACAAAGAATGTCAATTAGTGAAATGGTAAAGTTAGTTCATACTTCTCTGCATATATGCTATATTGGACCTGACTACAAATAATAACAGGATGGTATGTAGAATTTGACTTACAGAATATTACAATGTTAGATTCATGGTTAGAAAATATTATCAATGGAGTTTGAGGAACACATTTATATATAGGCAAAAATAACCAAAATATCACTTAAAATACAAATATTGCTCAATATGTTTAAAGTAGGATTACAATAAAATTCTAATTATAGCTTTTAGAGTAATTGTGGGTTTATATACACATATGTGTACATATAAATAGACATATACATATATCTTATCCAAATACAAAATTTCAATCAAATCTAGATACAAATATATAAGCTTTGTTGGTAATAATATAATAACTCACATTCTAAATTGTTTTGAAATAGATAAAAAGCAAATTAAAATAAACAAATAAATAAAATTAACAACACCAATTCTGCACCACAATTAAACTTTAGTATGGAGGAACAGTGCATTCAAAGCATATTTCGTAAGCCAAATTCTCTTTAAAACAGTCTGAAATCATTATGAAAGGCCAGAAGAAAAACAAGTAAGGACTTGTGAAGGCTGCTTAATGCAGCAAAGCAGCCCTGGATCATACCAGTCATTGCCTTCCTTTTCTGCTTTCTTCTTATTTTATTTCTAATATTTTCTTCCAGACCATGTAGGTTAAGCCAGGATTTTCACTTCACTCCTTTCTTTGGCAAGCAATTGCCCTTTGCCCTGGGTTTCCATTACCCATCTACTGAACTGTTCCTTCGCTCAGAACAGGTTATTTACTCAAAGTAAAAGCAGGAAAATCAAAAAAAAAAAAAAAAGAAGAAGAATGGGAACAAATTAAAATTACTCATAGCAGGCAGCCAGTGTCTGGGTGGTATTTGGCAGGACAGGTTTATGATACAGACAATATTGTCCAGCACATTTCTCATCCTGAAGACAAGAACAGTAATATCAGGGTCCACAGATCAATGTTTATATCTCTGAAAATAGGCAGTTTTCTAAAGTCTGCCTGGACCTAAAGCATAGAAAGAACAGAATGAGTCTCCTTAGCCAATTTACTATAAAATAAATATGGAAATGCATCATCAATAATCAAAGTTTTAACTGCAGTGCCCATTTCCCCGTGTTTGTAAAGCCATATAATAATCCAAATTGTATCACCCCATTCCTTACTCACAGGTGCATTGTAGATTGTCCTAACAGTGGGCAAATTGGGGGCAGAGGATTACTGGCATTTCAGATCTGAGAGGCTAAGCATTTGTGATATGAGGAACCATCCATAAAATAAAAACCAGCTTTCTCCCACCTGTCAATCACATCCCTCTTAAAAAAGATTACTATAACCTATAGCCAAATAAGCTCTAACTACCTGTCGGTACTTGAAGCCTAAAAGCACAAGAAATTTAAGTAACATACACGCAACAAGTTCAGTAGATGTATTCAATGATTTAACTTTCAATAATTTTTGCTGTTGAAACAATCATCAATTTTTACTCGCCTATGAAAAATACACGTCTCACAAATGTTAGCCAAACTAAGACATTTACAAGAATGGACTTGGTTTTTGAAAAACCTCCTTAAGTTTCTAATTTGTAAAGTAAAGGAGAAAACCACTAAGATCAGTCCCTCCTGCCGCACACCTTGGAGTGTTAGAATTCCAGCCCCGGGGCCGTGTCAGTTCACCTGCTCTTACCGTGGAGCCTATGCACAGAAGCGATGTGAGGCATGCTGTTTTCATAGCCGTCTCTGCTTTCCGGGGAGGCCTTGGTCAGAGGCAAGGCTGCACGAGAGCTCCACCAGGGCTCCCTCCCGGGCTGTGGCGTTCCCAGGAAGTACCTGCCAGCCTCACACCGGCCTCCCTCACAGGCCTGGCTATGGAAATGCCTCTCTTCAACCAGCCTAGAAGGGTCCAGGGCGAAGCTGTAGCAGAGGGAGCTGCGGTCTGAGAGCTGTCGGTAGGCGCAGGACACATCGTGCTGGGAACCCGGCCTGTCGCCAGGGTCCAGCAGCTGCGGAGAGGCAGAGTCCGTCAGGGGACTTCCGCCCCACTGGCTGTCGTGATCCGATTCCGACCTTTCCGTGTGAAACCCGGAGTACTGGAACCAAGAGGAGGAAAAAGGCCCATTTCAAAAATCAGTCAATAAAACAAAGAATGACACACAGACTATTCTGCATATACCCCAAGGTCATACTCGCCTTAGGCAGAAAAGAATATTTTAGTTTCATGACTGCACACCCCTAACTTGGAGTCCCCTAATTAATCACAACGAATTCAGAGCAAACCCTTTAGTCTGCTGAAAAGTGGTTTGCCTAAGCCTACACACAAAAGATAATAAAACAAAGATTCAAACCCAAATCCTTTTTCACTGCCCAAATGTTTTATCAAGGGAACTCTAGGAAAATTCTATATTTTATTTCTATTTGTTTTTCATATTTTTCCTAATCAGCAAAACAGCAGAAATGAAGGTTCAAGGACTCAATATGCTAAGTGTCAATTCAGTTAGGCTGTTAGCCATCTGAACGCCAGGCTGTGCGTGCCATAGAACGGTTAATAAATAACTACCTACTCCAATATTAGTATAAGTTTTAAAAAGTCATGCCCTAGATCAGGCCTACTCATGAGATGTACTTCTTTTTCTTTCCAGTTAATGCTGGAGATCACCAGAAATAAGTAGACCTCAGGCAACACTGCACCTTATTGGAATTGCGTTGCCCATCTACTTCAAAACTATTGAATTGGATATCGAAAAACATTAATGATGCTCAGCAAACCTCCCTAGGAAATATCATTAGTTTGGAGGTCCTCATGAACCACTCAAATTAGTAACATGGTAACTTTTCCCAATTTGGGATTGCCTGATGCCAAAGTAATTATGCCAAAAGTAACTGCCATTTACTGACAGCATATTGAATTATCTGCCTGCAAATCTGTTAATCATCAAAATTTATGTATTTTATATCAGTTAATGCTTATAACATCTGGACAGTCATGTAGCACTATTCAATAGATGAGGAAGAGTTTTAGTGAAAAGTCACAGACACCACACTGTCTAGCTGGTTTTAACACCTGCACTGCAATTTCCACTTTTACAATACAGATAAAAGCACAGTTTGGAAAAGGGAGGTGGGAAAAAGGATCCAATACCAGGAAGATCTGTAAAGAAGAAGTTGCCTCACAGTCCAGGAACAAAAATATATGCCAGCATTATGATCTTTTTTATCCCAGAATAAAACAGGATAAGAGAACGGTATGTGTGTATGTTGAGGAGGGGGTGAACAAGGAATTGCGAAAGAAAAAGCTCTGGGCTCCAATTGTTTTACTCGTATTTGCTGGTTAAGCAAGCTTCATCCGTAATGAAACCTTTGAACAGGACAAACTTTACCTTTCTCCCTTGGCCCTGAGCAAAAGGAAGAATCAAGACTTTCCCATATCACTGCAAAGAGGGACCTCAACCTGCAGCTCTCGTACTTCATCAGAGAGAAAAAGTATACAGGTTCCTTCCAGGAAGTTCTGAAGAATGCAAAGAAACATAGTACATACTTGGGCCAGGCACAATGTCTCTGTGGCTAAATCCTTGCCTTGCACATGCTAGGATCCCATATGTGAGCCAGCTCACATCTCAGCTGTTCCACTTCCCATCCAGCTCCCTCCAGCTCCCAGCTCCAGCTCCCTCCCTCCCTGGGAAGGCAGTAGAGGATAACCCAAAGCCTTTGGACCCTGCATCCGCATAGGAGACCTGGAAGAGACTTCTGGCTTCTAGCTTCAAATCAGCACAGGTCCAGCTGTTGTGACCACTTGGGGAGTGAACCAGTGGACAGAATATCTTCCTCTCTGATTCTCCTCTTTGTAGATCTGACTTTCTAACAAAAAATAAATAAATCTTTAAAAAAAATAAAGCACACTCTCAGGATAGAGGTCTGTGCAAATTCTAAATTCATGATCTTTGATTGTGTTGTCCAGATGTATCTATGGGCAATTTGTATATTACACTAATTTCAAAATAAACAGAAAAATCCAAGTTTTCCTGCTACAGTACCAAAAAAAGGGAAGACATCAAGAAATCTTGAATCCTAATTCCCTATGTCACAACTTCTACCTGCCTTGAGTCTGGTTTCCCACTGGATGTGGGCCTTTCTTAATACCAGACACCAGTTTCGATTTCACTGAATCGGAGAGCAGCACACCCTCACCTTTCAGGGTGGGGATTCCAATGCTATACTCCTGTCCCTTGATGACCTCACCATATGCTTAACTCCAAGAAATTCAGACCACCAGTGCTACTCTAAGCTAGGAGAGGCACAGATTCCACTTCTTTTTATAAAAGCATAAACCAGGCCTGTTTCTGAAGTACTCCAGTCAAGACTTCTGAGCTCTGTTGAGAGAGCAAAATGCTTTTCCTGAGTGTATATGGAAAGGTACTGCTGGCGCGGCAAAGAACATTCTGTCCTTCACTAACAAAGAAAAGTCAATACAAGGCAACTCTGGCACAAAGGAGGTGTACATTTCAAGAACACCTCCAAAATCTGGAAGGATAAGCCTCTTGCCAAGAGGCAGGAAGCTGCAACAGCTAGTGCACTGTCCTGAGAAACTGAAGTGGACAGGAATGTCTCCTTCGAACAAGAACTGAGACTGGTTTGATGGTAGGGATGAATTATCTAGCAATAAACTTTTGTTTCTAAACAAGATTTATTAATGTATTCCAGCAGTCACCATCTATCACTGAGCCACATTCATCTCCTATAATTGAACTTTACTAGGAAAAAACTATTATGAATGCTACAACCCCAATATTTGATCTGGAATATCTCAGATACTGTTTGAGTATCTGAAAAATAGAAAGGGCAGGAAGAGGGAGACGCAGCCCATGCATACACAGCCTATGCTGCACAGTCTCCATGTGAAACCTCAGGCAAATACTGCATTTCTTTTAGCAGGTAAAAATTCATGATATGCTTAAAGATCTTTTATACGACCAAAAGCTAAATCCAATTAGGATCATTTAATGTAAGGTGCCAGGGACAAGCAGCCAAGAGAACTTTCAGTTCTATCCCCACTGATAATTCTCTGGGTAACTGGGCAAATAACATCATCTTTCTTAGCCACCTCTGTAGAATGACATACAGAGTTAAATTAGACTTTTCCAAACATTTCCTTCAGCTTTAATGTTCTATACGATACGATATTATTTAGTCATATTAGTCTGTTATATATATGATACAATGTGATTCCATATCATCAAGTTATCATGTAAGCCACTTTTTTACTTTTATATAAATTTTTCCATATGGGATGTCCATCGACAGGTTACAAGATAAAGAAAATGAATGTGTGTGGAAAGAATGTATACTATATACATATATGTATATGTGTGTTTGTGTACACATATAATAGACATTGTATATGTGTAATAGTAGACACAAACTATGGAATACTACTCAGCCATAAAAAGAATGAAATCCTGTCTTTTGCAATAAAATAAATGTAACTCAAAACCATTATGCTTAGTGAAATAAGCCAGTCCCTACAAGACAATTATCATATGTTTTCCTTAATCTGTGGTAACCACTACACAGAGTACAAAAAATGTAATCTATATGACCGAGATGGACTTTGTGAGTTTTCTTTATTGTTTACAGCCTTTGTCTCTACTTTTGAAGAATTGTAGTTGTTGTTCTGCTTGGTAGATCTCTTTACCTGGTGGAGTGTTGGGCCTGTTTTTGTGAAATGAACTCAAAATTTGCCATTTAAAAAAATGTTTTAAAGGAAGGAAGAAGTGTGGGTATAGAGCGTGAGCAGGAGGAAGAGTAGGGTGGAAAGTATCACTGTGTTCCTAAATATTTATTGTGAAACGTGTGAATCTGTTCACTTTATATAAGAAAGAGTAGGGTGGAAAGTATCACTGTGTTCCTAAATATTTATTGTGAAACGTGTGAATCTGTTCACTTTATATAAGAAAGAGTAGGGTGGAAAGTATCACTGTGTTCCTAAATATTTATTGTGAAACGTGTGAATCTGTTCACTTTATATAAGTAAAAGTAAGTTTAAAATTTTTAAAAAATATTTTGCAAACTAAAAGAATAACTTTGAAATTATATCATAGTCTATGAAGTGCTAAGTAATGGGGGAAAATTAAACTTCATATAAAACACCTGTAGTAGGAAAACATGAAAATAGAAAAACAAATACCTCAGCTGTTTAAAAGTCTCATAAAATTATAAATAGTTTTAAATAGCACTCCAAACTTACTTAAGTCCCTTTACCCAACAGTGTGTGATACATATACAAATAAACACACATATATACACATGTGCAGGCACACATGCAGAAGCAGAGATCAGAAATTTTAAAACGAACAGTCTATTCAAAAAGAAAAAAAGAACATCACAACAACAAAGCAAATGGAAAGATACGACAAAACATGACCAAACTACATAAATTAAAAAATAAATTGTAAGCTTCAAAAGGAAAGATAGATTTGAATGAAAAGTTTAGTAATGGACATTTTAAGAAAGCTAGAAAACATCTAGAAAAATAAGTGAATTTTACAAAGTCAGAGAGAAAGCACACAGATTCAAATATATATAACATTTATGAAGAAGGCAACGAAATTAGAATTTTTAAACCAATTGTAAAGAAACAAAAGCATCTGTCTACCCTATTTCAAGACTTCCTATAAGGCTACTATAATTACTGTATAGTACCCATGTTGAGGAAGATGCACAAATCAACAGATCCAAGTGAAAAAACAGAAACAGGCCCACATAAATGTCCACCTGATTTTTGACATTTCAACATGTAAAGTTCAACTCTGAACAAATGGTGTTAGAAAAATTGGACATTCAGAACTACAAACTAAATAGAAGTCAATGTGTTACAACTTCTATAAAAATTCAAGGGATCATACATCTAAATATAAAACAAAATTACAAAACTTTTCAAAAGTAGCACAGAATAAAATCCTTAAGAGCCAGGACTAGAAAAGGAGTTCTAAGACTCGGAAAAAAAAAAAAGTCACAATCTAAACGAAAAACTAATAAATTGGATTTGATTGGTATTTTAAATTTTTATTCTATAGATGATTCTATTCATAGGATA